ATATATCCTTCTCAAGGCCATAAATTGCCAATGTAAGAGCAGAGTACACTGGAGTTCCTAGGAGAATACACTTACACTGACTACGAATAGATGAAGTTGTTATAGTCCTTTCACAAATTATGCCTTATTATTTACTCTAGGAAACTTCCTGCTAAACTGAAGGTTTTTTCGTAATTATAAAATATCTAGGCTAAAAGCAAAGGATGCATAAGAATTGCTTTATAATTCTGTTGGAAAAGAGTTAAATAGCAACTCAAACATGTGCATTAAGGACTTGAGCCTTGTTCTTTTGAAATTAGTAGGCATATTGTACCCAACTTTTATGGAAGCAGGATATATATGAATCCAGTAATCCATGAGTTCACTCTCTCAGCTCACTGTTTAGGCAGAAGCAGATGATTGTAGGTCATATTTGTGTCTTTCTATGGAAGCTATATAGGGGTATAAGCAAATCTGCTTTCACTGAAAAAGGACAACATGTGCAACTGCATATTTACTAACATTAATCAATATGCATAGAAAGGAAAGAAAGGAAGTGATAAAGAATTCAGTCCAGCAATTAAAGATTTTCCTCTTCTTCATAATCAACATAAACAGTTGATGATCATCATTATTTTCTTTACAAGTTATTACTTTAAAGCTCCTCCTTTTGAACCTATTATGAAAACCCTTCAATGAGTATGTTTAGAAGAAAATAGCATCAGTGCTTTTCAACACTATGCATAAGGGCAGGGTAAGGCTGTCTGTAGTTTGTGCTGAAATGTGAGATCAGAGCTCACACAGGAAATGCTGCTGGCTTGACCCTGAACACAGGGAAAGTGCTGAAGTGCTGACCCCAACAGGCTTGGGCTTTGCACCTGAAATCTTAAAATAAAAGAAGAAATAAAAATCCTTGAACTTTTCTTTAATAGTAACACAGATTGATCCTTTTAGAGGAGATTTTTTTTTTCCTACCTCCTTTCCAATTAGACTGCTGCTTTTAGCCCAGCAGAGAATAAATGACTTAAGACAAAGAACATGGAGGGCAGATCTATAGTAAACACAGAAGCCACGAAGAATTTTTTTTTTGTCATCTACTGAGAAGCTCTGGAAGCCCCTAGTACTGTAGTACTGTAGAGTCATTGTATTGGCTCCACACCATCTTCCATCTGGTTGTGAGTACATTAAACATTGCTGAAGAAAATGAACATGGCTTGGCAACAAGATGATTCGTAGATGCTGGAAGAATTCCCTTAAGGGCTGCTGGAAGCGCACAAAGCTTGGAGCATCCTGAGAATGTGGAATGATACGGAAGTGTGCTGTTAAACCATGTTTGTACCCTTATTTCCTCCTGAGTTAAAACAAGTGCAGAGTGCTGGGTTAGATTATTTGATAACAAGAAGGAACTGTGCTAGCTTCTGTTAATGCAAAGTAGACAACTCCAATTTGCTTTAGAGGTACTAGGTCCACTCTGAAAAAGTAGGAAGCCCCACTCTCGATAAGAGTTTCTACTCTGCTCTGTTGACATCAAAGGCTGCTCTATCCATTTAATTTTCTCTTTATGTTTGCAATAGTCCTTCCCTGTCCCCCATGCATTGAGTGTTTTAAATGTAAACATGCCCTGGCAATACTATGTTTAAATAAGTAAGAGACATGTCAGAATATCTCAACATCATTGGTATTGCATATTTAATTCAAAAGCTTGCATGTGCTTTTAAAAGTTTCTCTTCAAACCTGCATCCATTACTGAAAGAACTGTGTTGCAGTTGGATTGCACACCATTATGGAGTGCTGACTAAATATTGATGTGTTATAGCAGTTTATTTTTAAGCTGTTTGGGATGAATCCCCAGCCAGTGTAAATTGGCCCACATTTAAGGCAACAGAGTGAAGCTGATTTATACCAGCTGAGGCTGTGTCCTTATGCCCTGTTGAAAGATCAAACTATCCCAAAATCTGTAAAGAACAGGGCAAGAATTATGAACCCAGGCAATATTTTTTTTTCCTATTTTTAACAGAAAAAATAATACAGTGATCTCATTTCAAGACTACACCAAAGATTCCGTAGTATTTAAAACGTATACAAATATCTCATAGCTAGTATTTAGACTAAGAGGTAGATGTCATATTCTAGGAATTGTAGAGTGTGGAATGATACTAATGGCAGTTGCTAAATACATCTATTTGCCTGTTACACAGGACACAAAGGAGGGTTATAGCAATGGCAACCACAAGAAGGCTTACAATATTCTTTTCTTCTTTTGCTATTCTATGTTATCTGTGTTTCGGTGCATTCCTTCTGGAAGGGTATGATGGAAAAGTGGTAAGAAGTAAAATGATCAGTAATACAAAATTTCACATTTACAAAACGTTAGCTTTATCATTAAAGGCATCCTCTGTACTTTGACGGAAGCATTTTGTACTTACAATTTAAGATTACCTGGCGTTACTGAGCAAGTAGCGGAAATTCCAGGTGAGGTGATTCAGCAAAATAGGGGTCAGAAGAATGCAGCTCACTCTCTCTCTCTCTCTCTGCTGTTCATGCTAAAAATACCAGGGCATATGGCAGCATATTTCAGCATCTTAACATACTAGGCTCCCTTGAGGGCAGAAAAAAAGAGGAAACTTGTGCTGTTGAGCCAGAAATAGATTACAGAACAGTGTTGCCAGACATACAGAGTGCTGGCAGCAAAGCCATTAGCAGAATCGGTGTCTTACTTTGCCTAAAGGTGTTTCAGTGATATTTAATGGGCCTCAAAGAAATGGAAAGCAAAGCTAGTGAGAATGAGGAGTGGTACAAGCATTTTTATAAATTAGTTGTCATTGCAAGTAGAGGAATTACACATATTGCATTAGGATATCCACTGCTTTTATATGTACCTTCCAGTTTTCCTTGTGACTGTTAGGGCTCATGCCCCTGCTTGAAATAATCAAAATGCATATTATAATTACACGGTTTTCCAATATCCATACACAGCAAGTACAAGATACTTACATGTAAGTACACTGTATTTACCTATATTTTTGCATAGTTTTTAGTGTGTACTTTGTGCCACTTAATAAAAAGCATTACTCGTTATTTTTGTTGTTTGTTTTTCTCTATTAGACAGCTTATTCAATTAAAGTTGAAGTAGCTGGATTTTTGGTATGTTCATCACAGATTACCAGTTCCTAGGAGTGTAGAGATTAGACACTTGGAGGAGTCTCGGTAAGTGGTGGGGGAAGCTGCAGTGTGAACATGAACTTTTAAATCACCTCCTTAATTAAGGAATGCAGTATCAGATTTATGGTGCTAATTTAATAAACTTACCTTTAGTTTGAATGGAATTGTAAAGGTAAGAACTCCGTTTTCCTTTTGGTAACACTTTACAATAAGTGGCACTAAATTACACTATAACTGCTATGTTACAGGGAATTACATGTAACTACACTGTAACTGTTGAAATAGCTACTGTACATGTGCGTACATGGTAACTTCAGTGCTGTTACAATCATGAATTACATAATTACAGATGATTCTGTCCTTTCTTTTCATTGAAATAGTTATATATATATTATACTGTAATGAAAATACACAAGATGTTAACTTTCATGTCTTATTTAGAAAAGTTCGTTTTCTTCATGTATTCCTTTCTAGAGGGAGTCTCAGTGCAAAACAAACCATCCTTAAGTAATGTGGAAACTATTTAAAGTGTTCTAGCTTAAATTCTGAGCCTCAAGTTAAATATCAGGTTCCTTAAACTTTTTCTTGGTTTGTCAGATGACACTAAAAGAGTGGGAGGATGCACTCCTTGTCTTTTGATGCACCACTTTCTTGTTCAAATCATGAGAATGTTCTTGAAGCATTAAAAAAAAAAAAATCTACATCAAAAAGTTTAAAAATAATCAGCAATCGACACTGTAAACAGTACACTGGCAGAAACTAGCTACCTGGTCTTGAGAAAACTACTCTGCAAGTGTGTGTGGGAGAGGATGCCACATACATTTTAGCGAGGGTGGTTCCCATTCAGAGCCTCCATTTTACACATTTGCTGGATACCTCACACCGTAATAAAAGCAGTATTTCAGAATGGGATCTTGGACAAAGGGAATGGACTACTGGCTTTTAGTCTACTGAATGTCATTAGAGTTGAGCCATGGTTCTGCTTACAAAAAAGAGGGATGCCTCTTTACGCCTAGTGTAGCAATTTTAACCCGTGAAGACCTGACAGGCCTGCAAAGTGCTATCCAGGTAGAATGCTCGGTGTGGGGTTTTTCACACCTGCTTTGCACAGATGCAAGGGATGTCACCAGGTGCAAGATAATGGAACATCAACTGCATTAAAAATGAGGACATGTGAGAAGTTTTAATTGAAAACCAATGAAATAATCTATTTGAACAGTACAATTTATATCTCTCTTTGCAAAGTTTAAATGCTGTTTCTATGCCACTGGAGAAATGTTTTCAAATGCCCCAAGGGCAACTCTGCTTTTGAAGGTCTTACCTGACCTTAGTTGGGTAATGGTTCAAGTAACAACGCTACTATTCAAGCAAGTTGGAGTTAGGAAGAATAAAGAAAGGTGTAAACACCATGCTGGTGGGGAATTCCACTTAAGCAAATAAGGCCCTCATCCAGGGAAGCACTTATTTTAAGCATCTGAATAGTGCCTTACAGTCCAATGGAACTTCTCCAACACCTGAAGCTGAGCAAATGCTTAAATGCTTAGTTGAACTGGGCCCCAGGTCCTGAAATAAAACCTTGTTGTATGTGATACTGAACTGTAGCTAATGTAACTTACTGTTGTGACAAGAACCCATATTTTTGGTATTAAACTGAATGACTTCCTTCGCCAGCCTTTTACATGTGTATGTTTGAAAGACATGAATATCTTGTAAACCTATACTAGTTTTCAATGTGTCTAGTAGCACCTACCTGGTTCTCTCAAACTACCATATTATAATAACATATTATTGCATTTTTCCACAGATGGGTATGGAGTGAACTGTAAAAACAAGCATGCAATCACATCAATGCAGACTTATTTCTTTAAAATGTCATACTGTATATGATTTATTATGTTAACACTCAACCACATCATATTATGTCTGTATATTTTGAAAAAAAGTGCTGCTTTGATTGACGTCACCCTTTTTCCTTAGAAATTAACAGATAAATGTTTCAACAAAAACAATTAAAATACTCTAATATTGTCCTTAAAAGGTTTATACTCTTCTGATAAATAATCTGACACAGCACCTTTATCTTCCATTTTACCATACTACATGATGTCATATTCCAAACTCTCCATTCCCCACACAAAAATAAAATTCCAGGAGAAAGTCCTTTACAGCAGACCATCATGCTTTTAGGCTTCACAAGTACAGCAACCAGAGAGAAATACTCTTTTGTCAAAGGTGCAAAACTTAGGAGCAAGACAAACTCCAGTTAGACTAACTTGCGTTCTCCAGTGTAGAATCATTTCCAAGAGGCAACCTTTTTATTTCATTGGAAGAGGAAATAAGCCGATGGGCTTACAGTGTTTTGTTGTCATACTTAAGAGCATGTGATTTTTCAGCTGTCAATTACACAAAAAATTTCAGAAATAATCCAAACAGAGACTTTCACTGTGGAGCTAAAAGCATGGCAGGAATTTTCTATCATTCACGGTGACATAAGTTTGTACCTCACAAAATGCATAGACAGGAATTTAATATAAAGAATTAGTCCATTTACTGTATACACAAAACATATATCTTTTGTTTTAACACTTCTATTTTTTTCTTTTTTTTTTTTTTCTTTTTTCTTTTTTTTTGGCAAACCAACATAGAGAAGCAGCTCTGGAACTGCCAAATTAAAAATTGAGAATTTTAGCAACTCAACAGTATTTTTTAAGGATAGTAATCAAATGTGGTTGTAATTTAAAACCTGAGGCTGTGCACTGGTTGTTAGCTTAAAACTACCTTTCCATATAACATTGTGCTTCCATTGTATAACAAAGAAAAAATTAACAAGAACTAGAAAAGTTTGCTGCTGAACAGTGCTAGGACATACAGACAAAAAAATACTAATACATGTTATCTACTGAGAATATTGATTTGAGTCATATCTAAAGGGATATAATGGACATTAGAAAATGCTTACTTGTGACTGACTTAGCTACTGCCAAAAAAGTTAAATATGTATCAAATAATGTTTAATTGAATTTATTATATGCACTATATACAGATACTAAAATGCTTTGCAGTTGTGCCCCATGAACACTTCAAATTTGAGTAGGCAGGTGAGTTCATGTGAAGCAAATAAATTATAAAACCAGAAATTACTCAGAAAGTTCTCTAATCTTTGTGAACCCAAAAGCAGTAAAAGGGCAGGACAAATTTGTTTCAAATGAAGCACTATTATCTAACTTTGCAGAATCTGTATAGCTACTCAGCATGTTTTTAGCACTGAAACATGGCACTGTTGTCAAGGTACCATTTAAAACATAACAAAACAAAGCAAAACAAGACAAAAAATTCAGTGGACTGATAAGGTTTTTTTCTACCAAATCCAAGCATACAAGAAACTATACTAAAAAGATTTCAGTTTGTGTTTTCCAGGGCATATGTTTCAAAACCAAGTTGCTTTTTGAATTATAGATAGACATGTATAAAACATTCTTTATAAACCTCTAATCTTAGACTTAACATTTTATGTAAGTAAATTAGGTCCTTACCTAATAGTATTTGTTATGAATATTGTTCTATGACAAACTAGTAGGGACATGATAAAAGAAAACGGAAAAAGAAGAAAGCTGCATAACATTTAAAAATGTAGAAAACTTGGATTAAGATGATGATTAACATTGTTAAGGCTGTATATTCAAGCACTGTATGTTAAGAGAGCAGTGGATATGAATTTTAGGCAATAAGAAATGTCCTGCTTTACGCATGATACTGTAATTATAGAATGATGATGTCAACAGCTGATTGTTGGCATAAACTGGCTACTTATAGCAGGTATGCGAGTTAATAAAGATAGCAGAAGATGGCAGAAATGAATGCTGAGAAATGATAGCCAGTTTTCTCCAGCAGTCAGCCTGATAAGTAAAACTCCAAGAATCTAGCTCTGCATCTAAATGAAATACTCTTTTTTCTCCTCTGCATTGACTTGGCTGCCTTCTGCATTTATAATGGCTGTGTCGGCATCAGGTGCGTCTTCAGCTCCTTTTGCTTCATTTGTTAAATATGTTCCTATAGGAATCAGTACAACAGAAAAGAAAAAAAAAAAGGGAAAGGTTAGGGGTTTTTTAGCTTTATGCTACATTATAGGAAGTACATTTCTAACAATGCTCCAATTGCTTCATGAATGGACAAATATTTTTACACAATTTTAGTATGCATCATACAGGTATGGTCAACTTTCTAATTTGTCTAAGAAATATTTATAGTATTAATACTGATAATGCACATACACAAATTCAAGTATATCCACAATAAATTAAGGGAATATTTTAATAAAAATCCACTTTATCTAACTGCAGTAATATGCAATATATTTTGCAATTATAGAATAAGTGATAAAATCTTGGTTATTTCATGGAACAGCTACCCATAAAAAACAAATCAACTTTGAAGACTTAGATATTCATAAACATTTTGTTTTTAAAAATGGCCACTGATTATTTTTGTATTTCTATTTTTTCTTGACAGTATCTATACTTCAATTTTACAGAATTGTATCATAGTCATTTCCAAGAATTACAAAATTGAGGTAGTTTTATTAACTGAACCCACTCACGTTATACTATCACAGATATTATTATGCTCAGGATATGAATAAAAAGAATTGTGTAAAATAGTCAACTTTCCCTCTGTGAAAAGCATTATTTATGTTGGCATAAGATGTATAACACTTTATTCAGGAAAGTAAAATGAAAAAGGCACACTTTCATGGGCTCATTAAAAAAATCTTGTTTTCCTCCGCACAGTCCAATCAAATTAAAAAGATGTTTTTATCAGCTTCTGTCTCCTAGCCATGTGATTATCCTACCTAAATTGATATTTAATGAATTAATACCAACACTAATCCTCTCTTCACTTTCCTTTTTTTTGGGGGGGAGGGTGGGAATAGTGAATCAACCGAGTTTTAACAATAGGTCTACAAAGCCATTCAGAGGTTAAATCTCAAGAAATGATTTTTGAGTTAACTAGGTCAAAAGAGAATCATAGAGAAGCTTAGTCAGAAGTCAGTGTCGCTCCATCCCTGTTATCTCTAATGGTGGGGGTGGGATTGAAAATGAAGGGAGTAGAATTCTTAAGGTGAAATCGCTGAATATAATAAAGCTTGGCCCAGAAATGAACCCCTTATTCCAGTGGGATCATTTGTAAAAGAGTCACTGATCTGAAAACTCACCACTGGCTTCTAGTATTATCTTTTAAATACATACTTAAAGTATTAGTACAATCTATTAAAGTGAAAAATCTTGTTCACTCAAAATATATATATATTCTGCTGAACTGATATATTAGAATCATAGAATCATAGAATTGTTTAGGTTGAAAAAGAGCTGTAAGATCATCAAGTCCAACTATTAACCTTACACTACTCCACCACTCCACTAGTCCACCACTAAACCTCTTAAGGGTAGAGTAATAATTAATTTCATGTTTCCTGGCTTGGTGGCTAGATTGTTTTTTAATGAAAGTAAAACTAGGAATCATCAAGGTTGGAAAGGATCTCTAAGATCCAACCGTCAAGCCAACACCACCATGCCTACTAAACCATGTCCCAAAGTGCCATGTCTATCCGTTTTTTGAACACTTCCAAGGATGGTGACTCCACCACCTCTCTGGG